GCTTTTCCTAGCCTGTTCCTCCAAGTTCTTCCAGCCTCTGCCCAACACCAAGTTCCAAAGCTGCTTCCACATTTTCAAGTATTTGTTATAAGCAACACCCCACTTCTCTGGTACCAATTTTCTGTATTAGTCTGTTTCTGTTGCTTATAACAGAATACCTAAAACTGAGTAACTTGTAAAGAAACAATATTTATTGCTTACAGTTTTGGAGACTAGGGAATCCAAAATCCAAGGAACACATCTGGTGAGGACCTTGGTGGTAGCTCTACACAGCAAAGCAGGGTACTACATGGTGTGAATGGTTGCACAAGAGAGAGTTAAGCTTCTCAGTTGCTCTCGTTTTAAAGCCATCAAGACCACACCCATTACTCCATGGACACAGTCCACACTAGGACACACTAGTCCTCACAATCTAATCACCTCTTTACGGCTTCACATTTCAATTACTACAGTAGGATTCCCCACCTTTTTAACAGTTACAGTGGGGATTAAGCTTCAATGAGTTTGGGGAGGACATTCAATTCACAGCAATAAACATGCAAAAATCCACTGTACTTCTATGCACTAGAAATAAACAATACAAAAAGAATTTTTTCTTTAGAATTCCATTTACAATAGCAACCAAGAGAATAAAATACTTAGGAATAAGAATAAATTCAGCCAAGTAAGGACAAGACTTTTACATTGAAAACTGCAAATTATTGGTGAAAGAAATTAAGACATAAATAAATGAAAAATATATCTGTTTGTGCACCCATTGGAAGACAATATTTTTGAGATGATTGTCTACCCAAAGTAATATGCAGATACAATGCAATCCCCATCAAAAGTCTAATAACATTTTTTTTTCGGAAATGGAAAAACTCATCCTAAAATTCATATGGAATCTCAAGGAACCCCAAGTAGCCAAAACAATCTTGAAAAAGAAGGATGAAGATGGAGATTTAACACTTCTTGATTTCAAAATTTTGAAGAACAAAGATGGAGGCTTCATGCTCCCTAATTTCAAAACTAACTCGAAGCACAGTCATCAAAACAGGGTGGTACCAGAGTGAGGACAGACATAAAGACCAATGACATAGAATTCAGAGTCCAGAAATAAGCCGTCACCTCTGTGGTCAACTGATTCAGCAAGGGGCAAAGATCATTCAATGAGGAAAGAACAATCTCTTCAACAATGGTGCTGAAAAAACTGTACATCCACATGCAAAAGAATGAAATTGGACCTTTATTTGAAACATAAACAAAAAAAATGAACTCACATTGGATTAAAGACTTAGCCATTAAGATGTAAAACTATAAAACTCTTACAAGAAAACATAGGGGCAAACCTGCATGACCTTAGATTTGGCAATGGTTTCTTAAATATGTCACCAAAAGCATAAGCAACAAAAGAAAAAATAGATACATTGAACTTCATTAAAATTAAAAACTTTTTTGCATCAAAGGGACAATATCAAGAGACTAAAAAGATAACCCACAGAAAGAGAGAAAACACTTATAAATCATACATCTGATAAGAATTTATTACCCAGAATGTATAAGTAACTTCTACAGCTCAACAAAATAAATGAACAACTCAATTAAAAAATGGGCCGGCCTGGTGGCGCACTGGAGAGTGCACCGTCAGGGAGCGCGGCAGCACTCCCGCCGAGGGTTCGGATCCCATGTGGAGACCGGTTCCTGCTCACTGGCTGAGCGCGGTGCAGGCACAACACCGAGGGTTGCGATCCCGTTACCGGTCAGTAAAAAAAGACAAAAAGGAAAAAAAAATGGGCAAAGGACTTAAATAGACTTTCCTCCAAAGAGATACACAGATGGCCAGTAAGCACATGAAAAGATTCTCCACGTAATTGGTCATTTGGGGATTGCAAATCAAAAACACAGTGCAATACCACTTTAAACTTCCTAGGATGGCTGTAATCTTTTCAAAGTGGAAAATAAAAAGTATTGGCAAGGATGTGAAGAACTTTTGTACATTGCTGGTGGAAATACAAAATGTTGTAACTGCTATGGAAACATTTTGGCAGGTCTTTAAAAAACTAAACATAGACCCATGTGATCCATCAATCTACATCTAGGTATAGACCATAAAGAATTGAGAAAAGGTGCTCAAAGAGGTACCTGTATGCCAGTGTTTAAAACAGCATTATTCACAATAACCAAAAAGTGGAGACAACCGAAGGGGGTCCATCATCAGATGAATGGACAAACATACAGGTGATTTATATAGTTATATATATATATATGGAACATTATTCAGCCATAAAAATGAGAGAGGTTCTGATACATGCAACAACATGAATGAACCTTGAAAACATTATGCAGTAAAATAAGCGAGATGCAAAAGGACGGATACTATACAATTCCAATTTTATGAAATATCTAGAATAGGCAAATTCATAGAAACAGGAAGTGTGTTAGAGTTTACCAGGGGCTGAGGGGAGGGGAAACTGGGGAGTTATCACTTAATGAGTCCAGAGTTTCTGTCTGAGGTGATGAAAAGTTCTAGAAATAATCGTGACGGTTGCAAAGTATTGTGAATGTAATGCCACTGAGTGGTACTAATAGCAGCTTAGGTGTTTGTATTTGCATAAAGAAGCACTGCAAGAATATATAAGAAACTAATCTAAGTGGTTATTTATATTTGGCCCCTACACACAAATAAGGTTGTCCTGGTTAAACTATATAAATAATTCTGTCCTGGTTGGTAAATGGCCACTCCCAAATTCTCCAAATTTCCTCCACCTTTGCTCTCATTCAAAGATACCTGACTGCCTCATGATCCAGCAAGTAAAGAGTTCACTTTGGCAGGGCAGGCTAGTGTAGAATGAGATGGCATGGTAACAGGGGAAAGGGAGACATCGTATACTAACCCTTTTAATATCCTTGCTGTTTTTCAATCATGTAAATACATTACCTACTTACAATAATAAAATTTGAAAACTAAAAAAGGAGTACAACAGCTGAAAAAGGCAATGAAGAGAATTTGAGCCAAACAGATGTGTACATTTAAACCATAGTGACACAAAAAACAAGAGAGCTCAGGGAATTGCGAGTCCTGTAGAAAGACCTGAATAAAGAGGGGAGAAAAACAGAAGAAATTAGAAAGATAAATATGGACCAGATCTTAAAGAACCTCCACGTGGCATTAATTAGTTTGAACTATTTCTGCAGCAGAGATAAACCATTAAGCATTGTTTTGTTTTGTTTTGTTTTGGATCCACAAATTACTTGAACAGATTTGTTCGTTAGAAAAATACTTCTGACAAGTATATAGAGAATGGACTGAAGAAGAGAGAAAATAGGAGTGGGAGGGCAGAGATGATGAGAAGAATGGTAATGAGACAGAAATAAGTCATGCAGGACACTGAAGAGTGTGATCTAATGGTCTTGCTAACAAGTAATTAGCTAGGGGTTGAACTGAAAAAAAAAAAAAAAAGGAGGATAAAAGATGACTCAGATTTCCAGCTTGCTTGACTAAAAGGGTGGAGCATGACCTTTAATGAAGTGGAAAACTATTCAGAACTTTGATTACATGATATGTGAATATACTGAGATGCCAAAGATAAGCATGACATGATGTGGATTTCAAATAAAATGGTGTTATGAAAATGGTAGTGATTTTTTTCCATTTTATTTAGAAATGACTTACTAAGAAGAAATATGCTAAATTTTATGGGAAAAAAGAATATCTGTACATAAATGAAGGTCTTAAAGAGCAATATTAAAGAATGATACAAAAACTCTTGTGCTTTTTACAAATTTATTTTTTCTCTTAAATAGTTTAAGTGTTAGACATGTGGGAAAATGACCTCTATGTAATGCCATTTATATTTTTAAAATTTTTTTTAGAAATTTTTTATAGAGGGCCGGCCCAGTGGCACACTGCTACAGTGCACTGCTTGGGAGCGCGGCAGCGCTCCCGCCAAGGGTTCGGATCCCACATACAGACTGGTTCCCGCTCACTGGCTGAGCGAGGTGTTGGCGCAACGCCAAGGGTTGCGATCCCGTTGCCAGTCCCGGTCCGGTACGGGCGCGACACTGAGGGTTGCAATCCATTGCCGGACACGAAAAAAGAGACAAAAAGGAAAAAAAAAATTTTTATAGAGAAAATAAATAGTAAATATGATTTCTCAGAATGCCATCTAATAATTTTCCTCATAAATGTGTTTTCAAAATACCATGATATTCCTCAGAGAGTGATACTATTTCTTCATAATGGGAATTAGGATGAATAATAGAAATTCCATAATATCTTCATGACCAAAATGTCTTTTAAGACAATTTATTCAAGGACTCTTCCCTCAATTCTACATCTACCTCCAGCATCACCTCTCTTTCCCCCACAGCTAAACTTTTCAAGTAGTCTATATTCACATTATTTCCTTACCTTACATTTATCCCTCAATCTACTTTGTCTACCCAATTTCCATAAGTAAAATGGCTGTTGCTAAGGGTCAACAGTGCCCAACACATGACTAAATCATCTTTACATGATCTCTCTGTTGCACTGACATGCCTAGACAACCCGCCCTTCCTGAAATATTCTTTCCTTGGCCTCTATAAGACTACACATCCCATTTCCTTTATCCCACTGATAATCTTTTGTCAAGGTTTTTTTCGCAGACTGATTCTCCTCTACCCAGACACTATCTGCTGGTATTTCTCAGGATTTGGTGCTAACCCTGCTTCTCTTGTCTACCGTCTTCCAGAATAGCTCACCACATCTATGGCTTCAATTTCCAACTATATGTCAGTGATTTCCCCCCCTTTGTTTCAAATCTGTAGGATAGACCTTTTCTCTAAACTGCAAGCACAAATAACTAAATGTTTCCTCAAACTCCCAATGTGGATGTCTCAAAAACACCTCAAACTAATAACCATGTCCAAATAATTATATTCTCAGTCAATCCCATCAAACATGGCCCTCTTCCAATGTTTCTACTTAAAGAAATAAATTACCATTCATCCAGGAACACAAGTCAGAAACTTCAAAACATTTTTTAACATTTATCTTTTATTAGATCCCCATAACCATTGCACTACAAAAGACAGTCACTTATTACTTCCTAAGTATCTTACCCTCTCTACTTCCTTCTTTCTGTAGTGTCAACACCCTAGTCCAAACTACCAATTCTCTCTCCTGGATTGTTGCAAGAGTTTTGTAACTATTCCAACTACAACTTTGTCTTCTGTAATCTGAAAAATGTATTGGATAGAAAGTTCTTAGTCCTCAAACCTGTGAAGGAAGCACAGTAGTCTTAGTTTCCAAAGTGCCTGTAGAAATAATGGTAATTACTCAAATACACAACAGGAACATTTATCAAAATTACACATTACTATTAATAACCACCATCTCCTGTTTGGTTACAACAAACAGTGGCTTGAGAAGTGGCATAGAAATAGATGACTGACAAGTGCTATTTCTATCTTGCTACAATTTCTGCTCTATATCTGACCTTTCACAACCAGAGTATCCAATCTGACTTTTCTCATTCAGTCTTTTCCAGATTATTCTAGGGTCATCTGAAAGCCTGGGAAGGTCCTGATGTGCTTCTCCAATACGGGTGAGAAAGTCTTTGGTATGAAGATGTTCATCTATTTTCTTTTCTAGTAGATGTGACTCCAGTAAAGTCTTCTTCTGTTTCAAGAAGGCACACTGGGCCAGCTCTGCTCTTTTCCTGTTACAACTGGGACACTGAGAAGAAATATGTTGCTTAGCTGCTTCCACCTGTTTTGCTTTTGTCCTAATGTTTTTAAAATACATTCTGTTCAAAAGCTCATCAGGGACAGTACAATTTAAGGCATCTGTCTTTGAAGCCTCTGCATCCCATCTAAACTGCAGCTTTTTGCGTCTGCTGCTCTTTTTAGAGTCCACTCTATGATGGATCAAGTTTATCTTAATGCTGCAAAAAGACTGCAGGGCATTCAGTTCTTCATCGGACACCCGAGCGATTTCTGTTTTAAGTTTAGTGTCTGGTGAGTGCTTTCCAGAGTTCGTTTCTTTACCCTTGAGGTAGCTGATCCATTTTTTACTCAACTTCGTTTCATTATCTTCGAAGTCCGAAGGTTCATACTGTTCGTCCCCTTGTTCCAAGCTTGTAGTCTGCTTTCCACTGTCCGAGTTGCTCCCAGAGGCATGCGGCCCGGGTTGCCGTCCTCCCGAGGAGCTGAATGAACCGCAACTCTGTACCTCATCAGTAAAGGACTTGAATGTCTCATGAGAAAGGTTCGCCGTAACACTTCTGTCCGGATGGGCCGATTCTCCTTGCTCTTCTTTTGAATCCCCAGGCTTCTGGGCAGACGGCCGTGACATTGCATCAGATTCGGCTTCTCATCCGCTTTGTCCTGGTCGAGATCGGCTCGGGAACTAGCGAGGGTTGAGCCGACGCCCAGAGCTCCGCGGCGCTCGTCTTCCGGGAGACGCTTGCGCCGCTGCCTTGGCAACGCGGACAGGTCATGCGCAGTGAGGACCATGGTGCGGCGCTCCTCCCATTCCGCCGCTCCTACTGCGCCTGCGCGGTGCCGCTCGCTCCGCTCAGCGATCCGACCCGCTTCTGCCGCTTTCCCGCTCCGCTTCGTAGGTGCTGTTTTAAGTACAAAATCTAAGTGTAGGAAGGGAGGTTGCAAACTCCATTGCCTCAGGAGTCAGACAAGTGGCACACATGTGTAAGGCCAGTAGAGATAGGTGGCCTGTGACAAGTCCGAAAGCGTATACCCCGCCTTAATGCATCCAAGTTTAAAAACACACACACACGTTCTGGCGAAAATGCACGAGCAGAAACTTGTCCTCCCGTCTCACAGCCAGGGGACGGCCTGTTTGTAGGCCAGGACTTAGGGTGAAAGTGCGAATGCTGAAGCCGCACGAGACACCTTGCGCAGGTGTCCGTGCTCCAGCACAGAAGCAGTTTTCTCTCATCACCGGGTTTCAGGCCTTTCACACACGCAGGTCCCCTCTGGCTGGCATCTCAACGCCCCTCCTCGCTTTTCATACTACTCATTTCCACCCCTTCAAGTCCCATTTCCTCAGGAAGGGCACCATACCCACCCCTGCCTTCAAAAACTTTGCAGCCCTTTTTTTCTATATATATATAGTTTACAACTAGGTGTTTTGTTTGTTTGAGTGCATGTATTTGACAATGAAGGTAGAAACCATGTCATTGTTGCTGACTAGTATAAGCCCAGCAATCAGCAGACACATAGTAGCTATTTAATAAATCCATGTTGCATGAATGAGTTGAATGACCGTGGAAACAATGAAATATTAGCTCACTCAGAGCCAGTGGACTTTGTGGAATAAATGCTATGAACTCAAGGAAATCTAATCTTTTCTCCTCCTGAACCCCCAAACTTAGGCTGTTACCCATGATACATCCTTTTATAACCGGTGTTTTTAAAAACATGATAGAGTTTTATTAACAGCTATTCTCAGAAATGATAAAATATTAACCCTGGAGGTGGACTTTTTAAAATAAATACCAATGTCTAGATCTTAGACATTATTCGAGATAATTTCAAGAGAATGGACTCATTTTTCAGTTCTCTTTCTGTTTGAGTGTGTGTGATATTATTCAGGTTTAGCTTAATATTATTCCCCAAATGTTCACTTTGGCAAAGAGTCAAAAGTCTAAAATATTAAAAATCATCTCTCAAACATGAGCCAACTTCATATTAACAATAAGGAGATTCAAACTTAATTTATTCAACCCAAATTACACTTGGTCATATAATGCTAGTCTGCAAAAAGAGGTAACAGAAAATTTGTGGATAGTTTCAAGAAATTTCCAGCAGGGCCCAAGATTTTAATTTTTAATTTTTAAACTCTCCTTTATTCTCTGAATATTTACATATAATTCATTATAATATACATTTTCCTCATAACATTGAACAAGGGAGATATACTTGAAAAAACATTCATATATTCTAATATTCTAAATATCTGAGATAATCTGCCTTCTGATTTTTTTTTTAATAGTGTTGTAAATTTCTCTTGAATTTTTAAAAACAATTTTATCCTAGAAGCAGGTAAATTTGTGAGGGAAGTACTATAATTAACCAAGTCGTTTGTAATAACCCCCATGACCGAGTGGACAGTTTAACATTCTGATAAGTGTGTTATCAAAGGAAGCAAAATAGCTCAATAGTACTATCATTGTCGAATGAGATTCATGAAAACAGAGGTCAAAGTTTGATTTTAAACATAGAATCTATTGCTATTTATATAAATCATATAGTCTATTTTTCAACTTGATCACAGAATAAAGTTTAAAGGTGACTCTTCTCAAAATCCATACTACTGTTGTTTTCTATTGTAAAATAAAGATTATATTTACCTACTCTCTTCTTTGTATGAGAAAAATTATCAGTGATGTGTACGTGAAAAGAAAATCTCAGATAATCCTCTAAGCAGTACTGGCAAAAATATATATTCTTTATTTTTAGAGATAAAAGAACTGTGAACAAGTATGATGTCTTACACTAATTTTTTTGATTGGATGTTTCGAGTGAGAAAAAATAGAAAAGCATAAAGGCAAAAAGGGAGTTGAGATTTGCAACTTGCTATCTTATCTCAAAATGTTTTTATACTGTACCGATGGATACACATCACTCCTTCTATCACTATCATGAAAGCAGATTTTATCAAAATTTGCAGAAAAAAATAGAATATGACATTTTCAACATTTTGTTTTTATCAGGGAAAAAAAAGGAATTGACCACGAGGAAATATTTATATCCTTCCTAGAAAATTCAATAGCAACATTTCAGTGTCCCAGTAACTTTATTACAGAATTATTTATTCTTTATTTAGCAAATATGTATGAAGCTTGAAATAGTTTCTGCAAAATTATCCAATCAACACTAAAATGTGAAAAGAAGATGTTGCATTTTATTTTCTATTATTAATGTAATCTTCTTTACACGTTCTCAACTATTTTGGTAGCTATAGAAAAACCATTAACTTGCTAATTAATGATATCCCAGACATTCCCATGTAAGTCAATCTTACTTTGGCAAATATTCAGTCAGTGCTGAATTTAACCCCCCAACTGAGCTGTTCCTTCCTTCCCTTCCTCCTTCCTAACATGGAGCCTTGGTAGAGGGGAAAATGTTATTGTCTTCAGGGCATCTAGAATATGGGATCCCCTAACTTTGTAATAATCCTTTTGCTGGTGTCCACGCATAGTGCAGGTGTCCTTGGTGGGGTGCAGGTGGAGTGTTTCAATCAGGATCTAACAAGGTACCATTAATCTGGATCCTTCCAGTGTTCTGATAAAATCCAAGGCTAGTGGAACCTTGCAAGACCTTTCCTGGCTGTCTTGCCTAGATCTTGACCCCACTGGTGCTTTAGCTCCCTCCTGGAGTCTGGCTTCAGTTCTGTCAAAGCCAAACTGAGAAGTGGTACAGAAAAAGGTAAACATGCTCTGGAACACACAGCATGGCCTGGGGCCCTTGCCACTTCGCAGTCACTCAGGAGACTTCCTCTGACAAGCTTTGCCCCTGGAAATCTCAGGTGTCCTGGTATCTCTTGGGTGCTGTTGGGAGCATCAATGTCCTTTATGGACCACACTGTGGCTGAAGGCTGCTTGAGGTTGGGGCCAGGAGATGTGAAGGGTAGGAGGAAAAGATCCAAATCAGGGTCTCCTGGCCTAACCATGATATGCCACTATGTTTATGGCCCTGTAACCACCGTTCCTAACAGAGAGCAGGGCAAAGCTCTTCTTCCAGCTTTTCCACCAACAGTCAACATGCTTTGCAGCTGTGGGGTTCGACCTCAGAGAGAGGAGGTCAAAACAAATTAGTTCTTCTGTCTCTTTCCCTTTCTCTCTTACCCCTTTTTGTGGAAGGATGAGGACAAGCTTTCAGCGGCTTCCTCTCTGGCAAGCAGTTCTCCCAAGTATCAACGCCTCCTCCTTGCAGAGGTGGCATCTGGCCAGCACCCCTTCCTGTAGGCATTGTGGTGCACAGGGTACAAGGCAGGAATCCAGTTTATGAATAAGAGAAATTAAGCTGACAGATCTTTCCAAAGTATTCTACCCTTCACGTCAACTTCACAATTAACATTGTGCTTGGTTCTGGAAATCAAACGGGATGAAATGTTTAGCTCTTCTCTTAAGGGGCTGATTGAATGTGTTAAGAATCTCACCTAGAAAACATTTCTGTTGAATAAAGAATCTTATGTCTCCCACAATAAAAAATGATATCATGGGTACAGAGTTTATGTTTTGGATGACGAAAAAGATTTAGAAATAGATAGAGGTAGTGGTCACCCAGCATTGCGAATGTAATTAATTCCACATAATTGAATGTTTAAAAAATGCTTTAAATGGCAATCCTTATATATATATTTTACCACAGTTAAAAAAAGGGAAAAAATTATTTCAATTTACAGTTTTTGCTCATCATCTTTTTAGTAATTCAGTGGTTGTTCTTTATCTTTGTTTAGAAACGTTTTCACCTCACAAATGTCTTAATCTTTCTGTTCTTCTCTGTGTCTTCAGTTTTATTATTTTCTGAAATTCTTTAGTTGCTTTACAAATAGTAAAGCAACTTTTACTTTAATAGTTATTGTTTTGCAGAGTAATATATGTTTACTGTAGTTATTTTTTAAAAAAAGATAAGACACAAATATTGATTTTAAGTAAAAGTTACCTGTATTCTGATCTCCCACAGATAATCACTGCAAACACTGATAAAGCATTTTAATATTTCCCTGAATAATTTTTTCTTAGTAAAATATATATTATATTGAATTATGGTTTTTGAACTATTTTCTTCAATTAGTAATCATATGAACACTTTCTCATTCATTGTTAAAATTCTTTTTTAACATAATTTTTTTTTCTTTTTTTTTTTTTTTGGTGGCTGGCCAGTATGGGAATCTGAATCTTTGACTTTGGTGTTACAACACCACACTCTAACTGACTGGGCTAACCAGCCTACATAATTTTAAAGGTTATATTGCATTATCTGATTTATTTAACTAATAAACTTATTTAGACACGAGATATTTCTAATATTTTGCTTTTAAAAATTATTGGAATAAGCATTCCTGTAGCCAAATCTTTATATAAATTCATAGCCATATGTATAGGATAAATTCCAAAAATTGTCATTCATAGGACAAAATGTATCTACATTTTTAAGGCTTTTAAGATAGACTTCTCACTTTCTACCCTCTACTACAGTGTAAAAATAAAATCCAATGTATAGATTTATTTTCTTCAGAAATACTTCAATGTATATTTCTTATACATAAGCTCTTTTTAAAAACAAACCACATTATAATCACATTTAACACATTATGATAATTCCTTAATATCATCTAATAATTACTTTGTGTTTAAATTTCTCTGATTGT